CCCCCCAAAAATGACCTCCATGTTCGGAATTAACTTATTTTCGTTATGCGTCCGTGTTTGGGTCACAGGAATTCATATGTGTACTAAACTTCAACTTAATTGGTCCAGTAGATTCGTTGCAAATTAACTGTAGTAGACAGACAGACAGACAGACATACGTACATACATACGAGTGATTCTATAAGGATTCCTTTTTTCATATTCGGGCATACGGAACCCTAAAAAGATAGTTCTTATGTAAATAGAGACTGTGCTGGTGAAAATCATTTTTAACCCCTCTTAATTCAAAAAAAAAACATTACCGTAAAACTGGATTAAAACAATTCAATCTATTTTTGTAGCTATTTATCCAAAACTTGCAATACTTTTGGTACCTAGGCAAATAAACTGTACAATATCGAAATTACTTCTTATAAAAAATGTTTATTAATTAATTTCCAAGTGCTCTATGTATACGTATGCATATAGAAAGCAATCAATACCTCATCAATCCTTTTTATTTTCAGGATAACACTCCACCTCCGTTGAAGAATTCACTGGTAATAGATCGTCTTTCGGCTGTACAAATATTGCCGGCCCATGATGCGCTCTCAAAGGAGGCAGCAGATTTAGAATCACAAATCAGGCAAATACAGGACTCCCTGGACACTTTACAAAGGATACAAGTGCGATCTCTGGAGTCAGCGCTATACAACAAAGCCAACGAATTGCAGGAAGATATTTCCATGAAAAGGTTCGACTTACGAGTGGCCCAAATGCATCTCAGTGCCATCAATGCTCAGGTACAAATGATATACCATTACAATGATAAAGTTAGAATAGTTTTTATCGGCCGGGAAAAATTTTTATATTTTTTCTTCTGAGTTTATATTTACCTACTATTTTTGAGTAATTACACTAATTCAATTAAGTTGTATATAGTATAGTTAGTATTGATTAATTTACAGTGCTGTTATTCTAACTGAATATCTTTAAAAATTGATATTAATCATACGTAACAATGCACCTAAAATCAGGTAAAATAGAGTTAGACTTTACTGTAACAAGAAAATTTATTCAAACCCGACAAATCTACCAAGACTTACCATATTCGTCGTTCTTTCGTCCACAGTAGAACTTACTTCGATATTTGAAAGTCCAAACTCTGTCATTTGACGAAACATAACAGAAGTAAAAAGAATATACAATCTTGAATTTCGTACGTATCAAGTTTCTGTTTAAGCCAGCACGCTATAAGAACAAATATTTAGTATTGTAATCTCTAAATTTGTACAACCAACTTTCTCTGGTAAAACGCTAAGTTCTTCTGCATGAATAAATTATTCTTCATAATCTTACAAAGTAACATCAACGTATATTTTGTGAATGTCAGCATTCATTTATATTAATTATGATAATATTTCATTTTGTCTTCATTGTGGAATTCGGAAAGCTAAGGAAATTAATAATCAAGAAAAATTAAGCCTTGTATAAATAATATTGATGTGCATCATCTGCGATGCTAGTGATAAAAGCATTCTAATTTTCATCATCTGTAATATAGTTCTATAACGTTCGTCACGACTCGTTAACTAATATCATTCAAAATTGAAAATTTATTAACACTCAACGTTGAACTACATGATTCACCACTTACATCCGTTCAAAAACTCCAGTGGAGTACCGTAAATATGGGGGGTGATTAAAACAATAAATAAATTGATAAAATAAATAGTACTTTAACCAATGGGGTCAACTTTTAAAATGAATAACTAAATATTCCATTCGTGCCTTCTGGTGCAGATGAAAAAGGCATTTGTGTCAGAAAAAGTGAATTATTTCAAGCATTTCCTTCTGCTTTTTAGTTTTATTGCGATTTTAATTCTTTGAACAACCATTAAGTTTGAAACGGTTTTATATTGATTTACCTACAGTTCGCTTAATTCTATAATCCAAACGCTGTTAAAGGTTTTGCTCTTCGAACGAATGGCAGTTTTCATTGAATATTTTTCTATTTTCATGGTAAAAACGAAAATTAAAGTATGAAAACAGTGAATGAGTAACTTTTAAATTATGCATATTTTTAAAAGTTCCTTTTTAGGTTTTCTTAATTTTTCCTTTCACGAAATAATGTTGGTGAACCTTTCTCGTGTTACGCATTTTCTAATAAATATCCTTAATTATGAACTCAATAAGGGGAAGGAATCCTTTGTAGTATTAGATTTCCTCGCTAATCGAGGTAATCAAGTATATCAAAGTTAATAAATTTGGGGCCAAAAATAAAACCCACACTTCTTATCGGATTACTAACCAATCGATTTAACCAGGAGAATTTCGTAGAATATGGAAATTATATCTCTTCTCTGATATAACATTACACGAAATTATAAGTTTAAATCTGGATTTTAATAATTGTAATATTAGCAGTAAGAGCGCGTGAATATTAAAGTTCAATTTCATTCCTCGGGTATAATTTGGAACTGTCTAAATTAAAAGTCGATTTTCTTTTATTACTAACTTCTCTATCGATCGTTAACTTTTTTCAAATCTTCGGTAGCGCCACAAGACTACCTCTCTACATAAAGTTTCGCCTTCTAATAATTCATTTTATTTGAACTTCTTTTTCAACTTGCAATTAATTGTACCAAGTTTGTTCTTTTAACGAAAATCATTCGACTGTGTTTACATTTTATATAATTAGTCGGGCTATCACTAAACAATTATATTAAAGTTACTACTTCTGAACCTTTCCCCGTAAATAGTACAGTACAGTACAGTACAATTAAATCAAAAAAAGGGCTCAACCTCGGAATTAGAGATAATAAGCTGTAAATTTGTACAAATATTCATTTTGGCATTCTAAAAATCATGTCAAAAGTCCCGGTAATCAACATATCAATCGTGTATATTATTAAATACAAACTTGATTACGGAATGATTCAGAACCCCAGAATTGGGGTTGGGTACTGAAAAATTAACCAGCTCTATATGAACTACTGAATACAATACACAACGTGCAAGAATGGTTGTGGTTCATGGTGCGGATACAGGAAATCACGGTTACAATGTTATTTAGCATGTGGTCAATGTAATTGGTAAGCTTGCTTCAATGCTTCATAGTATCAAAGCGATCTCGATGAAGAAAGTGCGTTTGACCCCGAAATCCTTGACGGGTAAAGACAAATATCCTTGAAAATGAAGAAGGTGATAATGAATTAGAAATTTTCCAGCAACCGGAAGACTACTATGAAGAAGAAGAAAAGTAAGATTTATGTCCTTATTATTGAAGTTTGTGTAGTTTCTCCTTACATTTGAACTTCAACTGTAGTCAATGTGATACGTAATATCTCAAAAACGGTTAAGCGTATAAAAAAATATTTAAATATTTAAAGGAAGCAAGAAATTGGTTTTAGTGACCTTTGACCATGAATATCTTAAGATGCGGACTCGAGATTTTATATGACTTTTGACACATTTAGATTGCCAAAATAATGGTTTATACAAGCTTACAGCTAATTATCTCTCATTCCGAGGTGAAAACCCCAATATGACTGGACTAAAAGAAAATACGAATTCAAGATATATTTACGGAAAATATCTACTAAATTATTTTCCAGTCCTTCTCAAGTTACTCTATTTATTATTCAGGAAACAGGCTCAGGCGTAAAGGCAGGCATACTATCAGTAGAAGACGAATTTGTGTAAAGTGTCTGCTCATTTTCCCAGTTAAATGGCCGGAAATCTACTTGAATTTCCTGTGAGGGTTCATCTGTAAACCTCTCCTTTAACTTTTATTGCCTTCAGATTAATGTTCAATCTGTTGAAGTTCACGTGCGTAAAAAATTTATTGAGCCTTCCAAACCATCCATCAGTCCTTTTAAAGGACCTTTTGCCCATTGACCATTCAACGCATTTAATCACATTAGCGATTCCTAGACGGTGAATAAAAAATTGAAGTGTTATGTAAATTTAGTTTTCGTGGAAAACAAAACTTATATCATATGAAACAGTTTTAAGAAGTATTACCCGAGATAAAAATGTTCAGTCTCTCAGAGTCTCTGAAAGCGAGACTCGAGTCTCCGTCTCTCATCGAGTCTCTCTTGTGTCGCTGAGAGAGTCTGTCTAAAAGACTGTTTGGCGTCTCTGAACGAAAGACTCGAGTTCTTCTAATTTTTCGTCTCCTATCTTTATATTCGCTCTTTCCCTACTTTTCCTTCTCTTGCATACCAGTATTTTTGTTTTATTTTTATTTATTTTCATACAGTACTGTTTTGTCAATACCGCTTCCATTTTATTTAAAGCTATCTTTAGGTCCTCCTTGCTAGATGTTGATCGCGTCTTCGATGTATAGATTACAAAGTAGCGGTGACAGTATTGTATGCATCCCTGTCTGACTCCCTTATTAATATTTGCTTCTCTTCATTTGCAACCCCAGCTCTATAACTGTCTGTTAATTTAAATATCGATACAAACAAAAATGCAAAAATGCTAAAAATGACCAGCAAAATAATATTTAACTATTAATTAGAAGTGTTTAATTAAACAATTTTTTTAGAAACTCCTTGTTCTGGGGATCATCTTCATACCTACTGTTATTGACCCCGATCCTTTCACACAAAAACGTGTTTCGACACCAAAGGTGTCATCCCCAGTTCCAGTTTCGATCTGTTGTAGTTTTTTTTTTTTAATTTCTTTATAATTCACGTTCAGGAATAATTCAGCAGTTGGTGTAATAAAAGGACACCCATCCCAGACATTAACGTTAACGGGATCAATTATATGTACGATTGCATATCATGAATAATGCATCAGTCAGTTTAACATAGCGTGACGTAGTAGAACGCTTGGAAAACACACTCCGCTAACTCCGGAAAATCTTTTGTGATAATTTGAAAAGTTCATATGTTCACCTGCATTCGCAAAGACGCCGGCGCATTGGGGTCACGTTTGCGCAATCGGCAAGTCGATATCACCCACACCCCGAGACCAGTTTATCCCATGCAACATCGCGAGAGAATTTTTCGTATCACTTTCCGACAGATTAAAATCAAATAAAATTTACTAGTAAAGTGTAGAAAAGCTCTTAGTGGTCACGATGGGCTGGCTAACACTACGGTTACAACTGGTGAGTCAAAATAAAGCTCTACATATTGTATTGTTATCTAATTTTATCAGTTTTCAAAAATATTGCCGCATACATCTCATTGAATATGCTCTAGATTCTAAACGATCTATTTTTAGAACCTAGGTACCCACATCTGGGGTACTAACCCGGTCTTTTTAATTGACAACAAATTAAATGACTTTTCCGTTAATATTTTTTATCAAAGTAATCATTATAAAAATATTAAACATAAATTAATTTAATAGGTACTTTAATTACTTACTGGTTATGTTAGTTAGTTTGTTAGTTGCTTAGACCACACCTGCATTTAAATACTGACCCTTCATATTCAAATATTGACTAAAAGGGATTCCATCTGTTATACTTCTCTGACTTAAAGATTATCCTTGAGAAAACCCAACAACTCAGGGCGAAACGTTTGCTGTAGTTTTTTTGATAAATAAAGTACCTTTAACCCCTGTTGACTTTAATTAGTCCATTGATGAAATATTAGGGTTAGAATGAAAAATAAGAATTAGACTTTGTTCTGATTAAATTTTAATTTCCAATAAATAAGAAATAGTGTAATCGTCCACTTGTATACGTAGTTATTAGAAATAAATAAAGTTATGTAGGAGAAAATTTCTTATAGTGATTCAATTACCATTTAATAATATAATTTATTAACAAGCTTATCCAATGTAATCACGCGTTTAAAAATGATAATTCAAAGCAAGGGTGAGGATCTGCTAATGATAAGGAAATATAATGTATCCACTTTTTAACCATACATTTTCCCGACAAAGGAAAACGAATACGTTATTATTGTAGGTAATGGTGCGAATTTCCACCTGACATTCATACAAAGTCCAATTTCTAAACACCATTTTCTTTTCAATCTCACCCACCTTTTACGAAGTGTATTTTTAAAAATTTCCTTTCCTTCTTTACAGAAAGAGCTTTTCTCTCATAAACTCGAAGCGTCAGATACGTGTCGCGAAAGGAAAATGTCCTCGTCATCGACGGGCAGCATGAAGACAAAGTGGTTGAAAGCTTTTAAAAGCTTGAAAACCCCACCGCCCATTAAAGATGCTGAAAAGTAAGTGCTTTTTTAATATACAAAAGCGGGATAATAATTTCATACATCTACAAATGTATATGTACCTTTACTAATATACATATATATGTACATAATCCAAGGAAAAGTATGTTGATAAAGACAGTATATTGTATAAATCCATCATGATCCTTCAAATTTTTTTTTAAGTTACGGCCCTTGATAATGGGGACGTACTGTAGGCGAGTTAGTGTTTTAAGCCTCATTTTTTAAAAAAAACTCTCTCGTGAATATTTTTTGATGGAAAAATAAGAGAAAATTATATGGTAGAAATAAGGGTGCCTACATATTTTTGGAAAAAAATTACACCTTCGAAAACAAACGTAAAGCCACTTTTTTGTTATTAATAATGCGAGACAAAAAAAAATTGGAAAAACAAAACATGGTATTAAGGATTTTTCGTAAAAAAACTGTTCCCGAAAGGTTAGATTTTTTTATTTTTTAATCTCGATAGGGGCAGTATTTACTATCATTCTATGCAAGTGTATGTTTAACCAAGAAACTTAGAAACTTGAAAACAAATTTACCAAATTATTGTATTTGCGATGATCTTTGATATTTGCATTAACTAATTACTAAACATCAGAAAAATATAGCTTTACGCTTGCACCATACAAAACGACAGAGAGGAATTACAAATCAAAACAAACAAACACAAACGCATATGCAAATCATATACACTACAGGGTAATGGCATTTTTCGGATTATCAGTTGCTACTAACAGGCTAGCTTTTGAAGCCTGTTAAAGTGATTCCTTTTGGATATATCCACCAGGGGTCACACATGGCGCGTAACAAAAAATTTTGTAATGATGTATGAACATACTTTTCTTTATTTACGAATATAACTTTTGTATAAATTAAATTCTCGTAACATGCATGTTTAACAAACTATTTTCTACCTACATTGCAAACTCTGCAGAAAAAATCAAATGTACCACGCTGTATCAACGGTAATAGCGATGAGGTAAACTTTCAGTATCAAATATGTAAAAACCCTTAAGAAATAGTATAGCAGTATTGATTCTGTCCTCTGTGTAGAAGTCTTTTAATTGTGACCTTTTTGCTAATCACTCCACTGCACAGCTTTTCGTTAACCATCACCCATAGATATTTTACCACACCTTCACTGGCACCGTACTCGTTAAGTTTGGGTTTAGAATTAATTAAAAAACTTATTTAATTAATACTTACTTACTTTCTGCAGCTTATATCGTATTTTATATTATGTTATCGACAAGTTAGTTCTTACTTATTACATTTTGGATTTGTTCAATATCTTACTAACTTACAGTACTCATATTATCTCAATAAACAGAATCAATGAATTTAAGCATCTCTCTTTTCACCAACCATAACACCTATAAATATCTGTTTACCAAAATATTAAATAACATATTTAATTAAAACTGAAACTTGTTCCTAAATTTCTAAATCTCGATGTTCTAAACCCAAATGTTTGTACGTTTTACTCCGAAACTTCTGGATTATTTTGACGTCAATTTAATTTCGTTAACAAGATCAAATAGTTCAGCAGTTTCACAGTGTAATTATAACAGCACAAATTTTAGAAAACGTTCATTTAAAACTAATTAATTAAAATAAGTTCATTAATAACTAGCAAAGCAAGATTTGGATTTAGTTTTCGTTCTTTGATGATAAACATTAAATAAAATTAATTATAGTAAAAAATGAACGTCATTAAAATCGAGTAAAATTGTAGACACCGTCAGTTTATGATGAATCTAGCAAGATTGGACGCTGACGAAATATTGCTTAGATACTTAATATTCGATAAATAAATAAAATAGAAGACTCACCCCAATTACCACTAACACAATTTTACTGAGCGGACACGTGTTTCGCCCACTTCAAACGTGAGTCTCGCGTTGAAAATGCCCACGTTTGAAGTGAGCGAAACACGTGTTCGCTCAGTAAAATTTGTTAGTGGTAATAGGCGGAGTCTTCTTTTTTATTTATTTATTAATTCACCACAGTCTCCTTGTTTCTATTTTCAATATTCGATAGTTTAAAATCCAATATGTTCCTGTAGCTCAGTTTTAACATTTTTTTTAAAATTACTATGTAAACCATGGTTAAAGAGTTTCAGTAGTTACAAAGTGAA